GCAGCAGCAGCAGACCGCAGCGGAGCGGCACAGAAAGATCCAGCAAGGAGGGACCCAGTCAGACGAGGAGGAGGGACCGTCAGCCGGAGAGACGAGCGGCGCTGACAACACCGAGCGGTACCGTCGTGACAGCGTCTGTCAGCAGCACGGAGACACCGAGGGGACGGCGTTTTCATCCCATGTATTTTTAGACCCAGGTGAGCTTTTATGGAGCCACATTTGTGTTGTCGGAGCCGTGGGGGAAGCTGTCAGTGCGCACCCCGCCCGTCCAGCTAACTAGCGGATGATGCCTCGCTCTCTCTCTATCCCCTCCTCGGCCTGGCTAGCTAGTCAGTCTCCTTCCTAACGGGAGAAATTAGTCCGCTTGGTACGAGCCCCGACAGTAACTAGCTGTTTGGTGGTTTTGCTTTAATCCGGCCACTAAATTGAGCAACTATATAAAGCTAACAAGTAGCTTAAGCTTCTTACACTGTTTGACTTGTGGCTTAGTGCCAGTGTTATTAGCTAACCATCTCATGCTAGCTTAGCAGGACTGCAGTGCTCGTGTGCTGCTTCTCTGTGATCATTTGTAAGCTCGGGAAAAAGGGGGATTTCTTGCTAGTTTTTTTTAAAGCTGTGGAGCTGCAAACCATCCGGGCGGATAAACATAAATGCATTAGAGGCTGCTTATTGGCAAGACATTCATATAGAAGACTCTGTAAACACAACATGTGGAGCATTGGAGCATCCTTTCAGGCTAACTTAGGTGTCGTCAAAAACCCTCTGTAACATCTGTAAAATCACATCTGCTCTGTCTCTGGCACAATTACGACATTAGACATTTAGATTGCGTGGAGATTAAGGAGGGAGGAACTAGATTATAACAATACATTGTGTTATATTGGACACTGTTAAGTCCTAATCACAGCTTCAGGCTCATACATCTGCATCAAACCACACATTTATCTGACTCACATGTCACAGCAGACTGTCAGATTTTTACTTTTAATCTTGAGAAATTAAACTGCATAGACATCTGATCAGCTCAGCCTACATTTTTTGCCATTAAAATAATCCCTTCCTGTCTTAAAGTTGCTTAAATGTAGCTCTGCACTGTGTTTTCCTTTTAGAAAGTGCCGATACATGCAGCAACTCCTTCCCATTTGCTGCAGTTCGTGCACACCAGCTCACCTCGACGCTGCTCAAACGCTGTGAAACCGCTCTATGCTCTATACAAAGGGAAACTGATATTCGAATAATTCAGCCATACACGTTCGAAGCAGGAAACGATTCTGAAGATGAACGGTTCAGCAAATCTTCAGTTGGTTCCTTGTGTTTGTTAGGAATTAAATGCTGGAAGTCGGAATCCATGTATTTGAGACTGTCATCAGAATAGTTTGAAGGACAGCCAGGGCATTGACTGCTTATTTTGCTCATGATTTATCTTCCTGCATGTAAAAAAAAAAAAGGCCAGGACATGCTCCCAAAGTAAAAACCAAAAAGAGACCTCATTTGACGTTCATACAGTTCTACACATGACAGTTACTGCGACTGATCAGTGTCACGCAAGTGTCGGATGCTTTCTGCAAAGTTAAGTGGTCAAATATATTTACACACATCTAGATGTTTTCGTGCTGCGAGGTGGCTCGGTGGTTCGCACCATCGCCTCGCAGCTAGAAGGTCACCGGTTCGTGTCCCGGTGAAGATGTCTGGGATCTTTCTGCCTGTTCTCCCCGTGCAGCGTGGGTTCTCTCCGGGTTCTCCGGCTTCCTCCCACACAGTCCAAAAACATGTCGAGGCTAATTGGTGACTCTAAATTGTCCGTAGGTGTGAATGTGAGTGTGCTTGGTTGTCTGTCTCTAAGTGTGGCCCTGTGATAGACTGGTGACCTGTCCAGGGTGTCCCCTGCCTTCACCCTAAGTCAGCTGGGATAGGCTCCAGCCCCCCTGCCACCCCAGTGAGGATTAAGCGGTGTATAGATAATGGATGGATGTTTTTGTATTTTTGTTTGTCAGGCAATTATATGTGTGAAACAAAAACTTTAAGACGACAGCTTGCTTTAAATCAATTTGAGACATGTAGAACGATAACCAGTAGCTGTGGTCATATCATGTAATCACAATATGGTTCTGCTGAAAGTTGATAAATAATAAAATCTAATTCATGTGCCCTGCTTGTGGTTTTCATTTTCTCTGACTCCTGTCACGAGCCTGCCTCAGCGACCTCAGGGCTTTGTTATGCCGGTAGCCTGAGATAACATAAACACTAGAATCTGTTATGATTTCTTTTTTGTGTGTGTGTGTGTTTTTTTGTGTTTAGCTTCGTTGCTCTTGTCATCGGCTGCCCGTCGTCACCATGACAGCGGAAGAAACCATCAATGTGAAGGAGGTGGAGATCATCAAGGTGATCCTGGACTTTCTCAACGCCAGAAAGTTGCACATCAGCATGCTGGCTCTGGAGAAGGAGAGCGGCGTCATCAATGGACTCTACTCGGACGACATGCTTTTCCTCCGGTAAATGATCTCCATAGTAACAATCACACTGTTCAGCCCGGATACAAACGTCTCATGTTGCTTCTCCTGAACGTTGTCGCTATGTAGAGAAACATCAGGAAATAATTCCAGTTGTAAGTTTAGTGTTTCCGATCTTGTCCTCTACAACTGAGATTGTGTAACACTGCACGCCTGCATTTGATGTCAGTGTTTCCTTGAAAGTCAGCCAACAGTGTGTCTCATCTGCAAGTTTACTCAGCCTGAGTATTACATTCATTCTGATATTTCATCTCCTGGTGTGAAGTTTTCATTAACAGGATGTTCCATCTAGTCATGGTGCATGTTTAAATTTAACTAATCCTGCGAATAGGGAGTGAAATGTTCAGAAAATGTTTGCTTTCTTTTATGTAGTCTGTTTTACTTAGAAAAAGATTTTATTTTCTGTGTGTTTGTTGGACATTTTCGTTTAGGCAACTGGTCCTTGATGGCCAGTGGGATGAGGTCCTGCAGTTCATTCAGCCTTTGGAGTGCATGGACAAGTTTGACAGAAAAAGGTGAGTCTGGATCACTTTCAGTGTGTTCAAAATCATGTCATTCATTCAGTTCTTTCTGTACCTTTTTTATTTTCAGCTCATTCTGGTTGTTTGACTGTTTGTAGCTCAAGTTCCACAAAAATATAACGTTTGAAGGCATTTGTAATATCAGCTGTAAAAACAAGCATGTTGTCCTCAGGTTCCGTTACATCATCCTTAAGCAGAAGTTTCTGGAGGCGTTGTGTGTGAATAACGCCATGTCTGCAGAAGACGAGCCACAACATGTAAGTTGAAACACTATGTTTGCTCTTTTTCTATATTTCTCTAAGGCTTGAATTTCCATCCTAATGAACAAACTAATGAAAAGCGCTGCTTTATCTTCCCACCAACTGTCCCTGGTTGTCATGGCAGTAAGAAGAAGGCTCAGTCTTAAAGATAAAAAGAGATGCAAACTGTGTTTTTTTTAATACCTGTACTTTGAAACAGCAACTCCAGTCGAAACACAGCTTTGTCTTTATAAGTGGGGCAGGTTATGCGTGTTTCTATGTGATTACCGCGGCTACATTTACATGCAAGGAGTGACGTGACTATCGGCCGCACTGCGGTTAAGGACTTATCGGGATTAAGCTGTTTATGTGTGCCGTTGATGCTATGTCACTGAGTATCACTGATGTGGTGGATAAAACGTTTCCCCCAAATCATCTGCTTGCCTGTGACACCCCGATATGTCTGCCAAGAAAAGGTGCAGCAAGCAGCGAGTGTCTTTGAATGCTGATGCAGAACTGTAGGTGTTTGTGGGATACTACTGAGTCAATTATAGAGCTGGCGTTGGATAGCATTGTGTGTTTAATCACATCAGTATACATACCCATTATCAATGTGAGTAATTTCGGTGTAACTGACATGTTAAGTGCTACTTTCTGGGATATCGCCGTGCTGTGATGTGTCGCTGAAAAGTCATTTTAAAGGCCAAAATGTCACATTTGATGGTTCCAGGTTCTAAAATGTGAGAATTTCTAGCTTTTCTTTGTATTTTCTTCGTATTGTATTTTTCTTTTTATAAGAATTACTTTTATTTTTAAATCATCATGTATTTAAAATTCCAGTTACAAAACAATACTACCCCCACGGATGGTGTTACAGTTTCTCACGTTAAAAAAATAACATATATATGCATAAGTGAAATTAAAGAAAAAATAAGAGATATATAGAATGATGTGCTTCGTAATGCAAGAGCAAGAGGTTCTATAAATGTGTTTGAGTGCAAAATAATACACACAGACATATTAGTTGAATTATAATAACATAACATGCAGTTAAAAATATGCATTGGACTAATGCAGTATAAATATACCTGAGAGTATTGCACTGTTAAAAGTTACATTATTTCCACATTTCACTATTTTCTGATATTTTTTTTGATCAGCAGATCAATCGGTAATGAAAACATGATCACTTCTATCACTAAAATGTTGCTATTACGAGATGAAGGTGTATTTAAAACTACTTTCTACCTGAAGTCGGTCAATCTTTTGCCAAATCAGTAAATCTGACACACATTTTCATACAATCACACATGCAGAGACGCTCACTTCTCTGGTTAGCCTCTTAGTGTGGCCGTGACGCTGTGCCGGAGCCGTTGTGTGCTATTAACTGGATTAACTCAGATTTCTTTGGACATCTGTGGACACTTTGTATTGCTCACTGGCACTAGTGAGCTGAGTGTTGTGTATTGCTTCCTGTGATTGTGTGTTGGTAATGATTTTTCAGGATTGTGCAGGACTCACAAATTGAGGGAAGAAGAAAAATAAAGTCTTGCTTCTTTTTGTGGCTCCTTAATATTAAAGCTAGGAAGCTCAAGCACTGACATTTAAAAGTCATCTGTGCCTCCGGTGCGCTCCTGAAGATAAAGCTCCTTCAAAAAGCAGAATGTTTCTCTGCTTTTTTTTGTTGAGAGAGAGAAACGTACACTTCATTATGTGCTACACATAGAAACACGTCCATTTCATGTTTTTCAGTTGGAGTTCACCATGCAGGAAGCAGTGAAGTGCCTCCATGCCCTGGAGGAGTTCTGTCCCTCCAAAGATGACTACAGCAAACTGTGTCTGCTCCTCACGCTGCCACGCCTCACAAACCATGCTGAGTTCAAGGCAAGAATGTAGTTATTATAGAATCTGATTTGCATAATAATTCTGCAGCAACATTGAAGTATTTTGTGTATTTGCACTTTTGCATTCTTTTTATTTTTGTAGTATGTATTTGCAATGTGATTCTCTTCACTGCAAGTGAAAATCCCAATTTCACAGCTTCAATTGATAGTTGTGTTTGAGTTTTTGTTCTTTATGTCTGATTTCTCTGTTGGCATCCGTCAGGACTGGAACCCGAGCACGGCCAGGGTACAGTGTTTTGAGGAGGCCTGCACCATGGTGGCGGAGTTCATCCCTGCAGACAGGAAGCTGAGTGAGGCTGGATTCAAGGCCAGCAGAGATCGACTCTTCCAGCTCCTGCTCAAAGGAGTCCTCTACGAGTGCTGTGTGGAGTTCTGCCAGGTGTGAACTGCTAAAACTAAACATAAATCTTATGGCCTGACTAGTTTGTGCCTCTAAAAATGCTAAAATTCTAGCTTAGAAGAGAGTTGTTGTACTGATCGTTAGAATATTAACAATTATACGGTTGCTTTGTGTGCAGAGCAAGGCGACAGGTGAGGAGATCACAGAGAGCGAGGTCCTCCTGGGTGTCGACATGCTCTGCGGTAATGGCTGCGACGACCTGGACCTGTCTCTGCTCTCCTGGATGCAGAACCTCGCTCACACCGTCTTCTCCTGCGCCTTCGAACAGAAGCAGCTCAACATTCATGTAGACCGTTTGGTCAAGCCCGCCAAGACCGGCTACGCCGACCTCCTCACCCCGCTCATCAGCAAACTGTCGCCGTATCCTTCGTCCCCGCTTCGCCGTCCCCAGTCCGCTGACACCTACATGTCACGCTCCCTGAACCCAGCGTTGGACGGGTTGTCCTACGGGCTGTCTGGCCAGGATAAGAGAGCCAGCGGCGGGGAGGTAGCGCCGGGTAAAGGGGTCTCTCCCATGTCCCACTCGTTCGCCAATTTCCATTACCCTGGAACAGCAGGGCAGAGCTTGACCAGGAGCCTCATGATGGAGAGCTCCGACTGCCACAGCATCTTTGAGGAATCCCCTGAAACGTAAGCGCTCAGATTGGGACCTAAACATGCTTCTATATGTCTCAGAATCAATTTTTAATTTGTGCAATGCCCTGTCAGGTGTCTTAGAAGATGTGTTTTCTCTGTAAAGGTCAAGGACAGACACGCCTGTGGATAAAATGATGAGCTCGGGTGGTGCTCAGAACATGCGTCCTGCCTCAGCTCCGGGCGAGGACGCACCATCAGCTGGCTCTGCCGATAGGAATGAGGTAAACACCATCGGCCTTTGCTTTTTAACCTGTTAGACCTGTTGTATTTCACGCATTACTGAGCAAATGTGGGGATCTTTTATGTCCCTACATTGTTTTCTTTACTTGATGGGTGTTGCCTACAGTGCCAGTTTTGATTAATCTCTTCTTAGTGTGGTGTGTCTGAGTCGTCCTCCTCCTCCTGGAAGTCTGACTTACAGCCTCGTCGCTGTCAAGGCTGTCATGGAAGCTCAGAGTGATGTTGTGGCTGGCTCAGTGCATCATAGCTGTGTTGGCCGGCCGGGATGAGAGTGCATGTAGGACAGGGGCTGGTGTGTGTGTGCATGCAGACACATTGTTGTTGATGCATAAACTGAGTAGAAACCTCATACTCAATCAGAGTTTGCACTTCCTCTCTGAGTCATAACTCTGCCAAATCTAAACACACAGACACAATGGACATAATTTTAGATTCAGAGTGAGTTACACTTTCCAAAGCTATCATCATCATCTTAATAAACATCCACAAATCTGCTCAGAAATCACTGTCCTGCCATTAACAAGTGAGGCTGCGGACCGGTCCAGGCAGGTGCAGACACGTGGCTTGAGAACCCAGCAGCTCAACCACAGAAATGAGTCATTACTGCCCTCATGTTGCCTGTAAACAGAGTGTTAACACAGTATCTGTGTCTGTCTGTCTCATGGTTTCTATATTGGGCCCCTTGTGCGGCTCACTGTGAAGCTGGTGCTTTGCTCTGCCTTCCCCGTCACCCCGGAGACGCATAAAGAGGCCAGAAACAGAAGCAGACTTTGGGGCCTCTGTGATCTCACTGTCATATCCCTGCCCTCTCTTTCTTGTTTTCCTCCCTACCATCCATTCCTCCTCCAGTCCTGGCACAAAGCCAGCGCCGCTCCCCCCCCCCCAGTAGGCTCGTTCCCATCAGATTGTCAGGGCAGGAAGCAGAGGACAGAGGGGGGAAATGACCTGTCCTCGACTCTCGGTCTCGCCCTCCTTCCTCCTCTAATACCTGAGCAGGAGAACGGGGAGGAGAAGGGTTCATGTGATCACAATGCAGCCTTTGAATGGTGTTGAAGCTCCTGGTGCCTTGTTTGTACATTCATATGTGTATGTTTCCCTTTGCACTGCTTATTTAAACTGAATGCAACAGTAGAAAAACATCACGAACGACTTAATCCATCAGAAGCACTTTTTCGATAGCTTAGGAAACCCGTCGTTCTCCCTGTTTCTGAACAATATTGTGTCTTCCCTTTATGATAACAAGCTTTTCACTTCTCACCTATGATTGCAGCCATTCAGACCACTTAAAACACTTGATTTCTCACTTCTTTTCTAGTGTAACCCTGCCATTATGCACAACACAATGAAGGTTTGCTGGTATTCTTCCCTTCTAGCAAACAATTTCCCTGATGTGCTGTATTCTTCTGCTTCAGCTTCGTGACTCGACGGAGAAGTACGAGGAGTTTTATCGCCAGCGTCTTCGCGTGCAGCAGCACCTGGAGCAGAAGCAGCAGCAGAGGCAGATGTACCAACAGATGCTGCTGGAGGGTGGGGTCCAGCAGGAGCCGCCACCCAGCGACATGCAGCACAGCCTGACGGAGAAGTTCCTGAACAGGTAGAGACACACAGCGAGGAAGGTTTTGTTAGACGGGGAGTGTGTGTATATGACATAAAGTCTTCCAAGTCTGGGTGGTTGTTGCACAGCTTGCTTGAATCAAATCTGCTGCTTACTCTATGACCTTTAATATCTCCAAACAATAGAGGCGCAGCTGTCAGGAAAGGTGAAGAAGACATGTTAAGGCCGTGAAAATGATGAGTCCCATGTGGCTTTCTTCTCGACTGACACACCCCCCTCCTGTCCACGTAGCGCCATCTGTTCTAACATCACATCACGTCGTACCATGTGCATGTTACATCCCACTCAAAACCAGCATTACCTTACATGTGTCTTTCCACTGTAGCGTGTCCTAAAAACTTGACATTAGTAAATTTAGCTTTAACTCAGTGGTAAAAATCAAGTGGGAAAATTGTCTATTTTTTGCTCTGTCAGCAGGACAAAGGCCCTTTGATTTGCCCCCAGAGATTTCCTCCCAATCCTCCCTCACCCTGTCTCTGTTGTCCTCTACATTATTCACAAGGGTAGCTCTGCATAATGACATCATTACTTCAGTTTTCTTTTGTCCTCTTCCCTTTGTAGTTTTAACTAGATTTAACTAGCCTGTCAGCGTACTCGAGCCTGTAGGGAAAAGGGAAAAAAAAAATGCAAGGAAGCTTCCCAAATTTTGCAAACGACTTCAAATAGAAGGAAGGAAGAAAAAAAAAAAAAGCATTTGTGGAGACAAAAACTAATGAACACGTATTTGGTTCATGCAGGTCCATCCAGAAGCTGGAAGAGCTCAATGTGGGGATGGAGAATTTAGGAGAGGAGGTGAAGTCTCTGGCTCAGCAGTGCAACGGCAACGGGAACACGCCCGCCTCCGAGGACAATAACAACCCTCCATCTGTGACCCCGGAGCAGAGCCGGACCCAAGGGGGAGGGGTGCTCAGCAGCACCCCACAACGCACCGTGGGGGGCCGTCCGGTCCCACCTCCAAATGAATCCCCAGTCGTCTCGCAGAGGTTGGTCTCGGTTGGTCTTTTGTTATTTTACAGCACTGTTTTCTGAATTCAATGATCACGGTGTTTTTGTGCTTGTTGACAGTGGGCAAAAACCAAAAGGAAGTCAACCGGGTGACTCTCCAGGCGCCTTAACTCGAAGTAAAGAGGTAAATATGCACACAAACATGTTAAAAAAATAACACACACAATACTCAGAGTTAGTTTTAGTTTGTCTCTCAAACATCTGACGTTCTGGCCTTAGCGTAGATCTGGTATTCCCTCCTGTTATCGTCATAGTCTAAGACGTTACAGCCTAATGCTAATTTGGCATTTGACTAAGCAGATTATAAGAGTTTCATCTGAATGGCAGTGATATCACACTGGCATCATGACAGTACGCACGTCACAGAGTAGAGAAGATGAAAGGAGATTACAGTGCAAATTACATGTAATCTGAGTGTTAATGTGTTTCCGTTTGTATTCGTTTGTTTTCAGGGTGATAAACCAAAAAGCCTGTTTGTACCAGTGCATTCTCTGGAAGACACTCAGGCTGTTCGAGCCGTTGCCTTTCACCCGTCTGGATCTCTGTACGCTGTGGGATCCAACTCCAAAACTCTACGTGTGTGCGCTTATCCGGAAACGCTGGACACGAGGTAACATGTCGACAGTCAGCTGAAGGTCTTTATTAAAAAAACAAATGGATGTACATTACAGGTAATACAGTGTGAAACAAATACTGTATGTGCACAGTCATCCAGGAGGAATCTAAAATAGCTCTCCTTATTATGAGTAGATCTCTTTATTGAAAAATGATTGATAGGAAGGCAGAAGTAAATCTTGCACACTTCTGTTTAATGGTCACGTGATGAAAAATATTAAATGGATGTTTCTGAGGAAGAAGATTACCGTTTTCCTCTTTAATTTAATGAAAAAATGCAGTTATTTCCTTCACGAGCTGCATTACCGCAGAGTGCTGACTAAAGGATCTGTGTGACTAACAGCTTAGACAATTTAATTCAGATTAGAAGTTCATTCTTGAGCTTGGAAACGACTGAACAAATCTCACCACAAGGTCACAGCAAAGTTTGTCTATGGAGATGAAGAAGAAGTACTTCTCAGTGACTCCATGTCTATGCTGGTTTGAAAGCTTATTTTGTAAACTGCGGAGAACTCGAAATTGAGCAATTAAAAAACAAACAAACCAGTAACAAGGGCTGCATGACATTGAAAAAAAAAAAAGACATTGCAATATTATGTTTTTCTATTGTGAGATAAAAAAAACAAAAACATTCAGGAATTGTTACCAGATGACTTGAAGAACTCAATTTGGAAAGATTTAATCATTCTAAAATGATCAGGGTAATTACTGAGGCAGTGTGTCAGCGTAGACAGCAAATCAAAACCGTATGTGATGTATCACTGGCAAAGACCTGGAGAATAGTAGAGCTTTGTGGCGCTGATA